CCCCCAAGGGTCTCCAGGGCCTCAGAGTTTGGTGTCTGAGGGGGATCCTGAGAGCAATCCCTTGCTGACACCGAGGGGCGACCGTAGTTAAGTTTTGGGGGATCTCTGGTTGTCCTGGGACTTCTGACAGACGGGTGTGCTGCACCCCAGCCCCATGTTCTTCAAGGACCAACCAGGTCGGCACATCCTGAGGTCGCTGCCACCTGCACCCCGTTTCTGCTTCCTCGCACGCACTGGCGTATGTGTGCTGGCTCGGAAAGCCAAGGGGCATCTAGGAGGTGAGGAAGCCGCTCGCGCTGCGGGCAGAGGCGGTTAGCAGCGGGCACCAGGGAAACGCATTAGGAGGGCAGGTGCGTCTCTGTCCCAGGAAGCGCAGTTCACCGAGGCGCCAGTTTACCAAGAAACAGGGGAAAGAGGAAAAGAACGGCCACAGACTACTTGTTTTGGCTGTTCGCGCTGAGCTGGGCCTTGGGGGCATCTAATCTAATGTCTTTTCCCCCCAAAACCTTTATACTCAAAACTCCAAAGACAGACAGACGGACTGAGAATCAGAGCCGGGCCGCTTAAGCCTCGTAGCTGGGGAGTGTTTTCCCACCGCGGGTCTGCTGCACCAGCCCCCGGGGGCCCAGAGTCCCAGGAGACCGTCCGAGCGCGCTGGACAGCCCAGGGCGGCCCTGGCAGGGCTGCCGTCCAGCAGGCGGGAGGAGGACACCCAGGGCCGAGCGGGCGCACTCCAGTCCCTTCTCTGGGCGAGGGCTGAGCGCTCCCGGTCACGCCCTCCACAGTCGGGGTCTGGGCTCAGCGGGAAGTGGGCTTCAGCGCCCGTCCGGGCTGTGAGGCCCTGCTGCCCCACAGGGTCCCTGCACTGAGAGTCCAGCCCGCTGGACGCCCACCTCTGCTCTCCCGCGGAGCCGGGGAGGGCCGTGGGCAGGCCTCTTCACGGCACGCTGGGGCCAGCTTCCAGAGTCACGTGGGCCGAGGTGTGGGGAGTGCTTTCCCGTGGCGCTTTCTGGCCAGACCCATCCGCTGGGGGGCTTGGGAGGCGCCCCGAGTCAGTGGCGACTGCAGGCTCCTCCACGGGCTGTGCTTGTTTGTGCTGACCGGCGCTGGCACCGCAGCTCACAAACTGCTCCCCCCCCATCATCGCTGGACGCTGGACGCTGGAGGGCAGGTCTGTGATGGCAGCGGCTGCACGGTGGTCTGGGGGTCCGAGAGGCCGGGATGGGCTCCGCCAGCCTCCGCCAGGCACTGGAGCCGGGGTGAAAGGACGCACGGACCCCGTGCCCGCACAGAGCCCACGCCCAGGCTGACCTGGGCCCAGGGGCGGCGCCCGGACACGGCCGGGCCACATGCCCTTCTCACCGTCCCTGCTGCTAGAATGAAGAGCTGAGTGGAGCCCCATGGAGCAGCCCGGGACCGGTCAGCCACTGCTGAACGCCAGCGGAATTCAAGGAGAACACAGATGACCGCTCTGTGGGGGCCCGCGGGGTGGAGCCCTCGCAGGAGCAGGAGACCAGGGCAAGCAAGCAGC